GTTTTTTTGCAGATGTACAATGAAATTCTCAATATCTATGCTATCACATCATATTTCTGTTTTAACTCAGGTAATTAAAAAAGTACCCTGCACACAAATTAGATATAAAAGTCTATTAAATAGCACATATGACTTCTGAACAGCAGGCAAACAAGCTGGTTGTACTTGTAAATGGTCTCTGACCAACTCTTATTGAAGACATGAGCAGCATACAGTTCTGTATCTTCCAACAGGGTGCTGCCTGCATGTTTATCTCTGCTTTCAACTTCCTGTACTGTTGTAGTTACCTATAATGCAATGCATGAGGATGGGAAGGTCAAATCCACCTAGCCAATTAATCTCAGCAATTAAAAAATATTTGACATCAATGCATTGCTTTTTGAGGACTAGGTATATGCAAAGGAAGGGGGAAAGGATGGCAGAGAGAGGAAGGGAAAGGAATCATAAATTATATTGAAACATCATGGGTAGGAATTCAGACATCACCTCCAGTCAAGATTCAGTCTCTCTGATGTTACTCCTGAAATACACTGCACGGTCTCATCCAATTTATGACTCCATATCGAGTGGTCTACCTGCCACATGCAATGACTATTCTCTTTCCACCCTGTCTATTCCCCCAGTTTTCTGCATATGGTAGTCTGCTGTGCATTAGGAAATACTCTAATTACAAGAGTGAGGCAGTGGAAGGTCAAGCTCCCAGTAAGCTTTTGCCCTCATTGATGTGGCCGTTAGATGCTAAATCCAGACTATAAAAATCAATTGAAACTGAACCTAGAGAGCAGCTACCTAAGTATCCTAGCTTCATGTGTCTCTGATTTGATAACAGGCAAGTTGTAGAAACAAGAACTCTGGCATCTATTCAATACCTTATCTCATGTTTTTACTTGTAAGAAGTCAGGCTTACATGTACACTGACATGTGCAGCCAAAGGTGTAACATTCTGAGTCCTTACATGAAAACTACATCCATTAAAAGCACAGCATTCACTCAAACAAAACATCAGGAGAGCATTCGCACTGGAGTCAGAATCTCAAAGCAGCTACTGGAGGCTTTCATCTTTTGTACATGCCACCTGATTACAGAAAAAAAAAATCTAAAAAACCTGAAAACAAGTATATTTACAAAGGAAGGTATGAAAATAGGCATATCCTTTACTGTTTGTTTATTAACAGCCTAGTGCACGTTCTGAAATACTCCAGATAACACAGTAACCAAAAGCTACAAACGCACCATATAATTTTGTTCTTAAAATTCTATATTAGAATTCCAACTAGAAGCTTTTGAACAAAGAGAAAAGTCTCTAGGCAAATTTACAAGTAATAATGTAACTTCTATCAATCAGTTGTATCTCAGTTCATTGACAGAGATCTCACTTAACTACTACAGCTTTCTTTCCTAAAATAGAACCACTAATGCCAAATAGGGAAGGATAGACAGCTACTTCACATATCTGTAAAGTAGCATTCGCTTCAAGTAAATGAGGTCTCCTTTCTTCTTTCGAACATTCTGGAACTGTTGCAAAAGATTTTGCCCTGGTTTAATGTGACAAAATTATTCACCTTCCCCATCAGGGTTCATATTTTTATAGGAATACCAGCATATTAGTGGGTCTGATGTATTGTAATCAACTATTACGCCATGATCATTCTGAAGGTGTTCACACCCTAAAATGAGATGTGTTTGAAACCAAAAATTATCAGTTACATACGTAATGATATACACACACAGATTTATGTATGTAGCCTTCTGATGATGGACGTTTGCTCCCTGAATGGCAATACCCTATTCTGAAATTCAAGAAGCACCAAAAGGGGAAGAAAGTTAAATAAAACAGTTTAAAAAAAAAAAAAAAAAAAAAAAGACAAAAATCCTAATTTATCATTCAGAGAATTTTATCTTGAGCTTTTTGATTATGATGTAGGCTGATAACTTGGATCAGTCCCTAAACACAACTGACAAAGATGACCCACCCAGCCCTAGAGGGTCAGACATGATAAAGACCTTCTGAGAATGAAACCATGAGTATCTATAAGGAGATGGCTCTAAAGGAATGATAAAATTAGACTTTGTTGCAGATTTCATTCTGATTCATATAGATTATCATTCTGATACCAGAGCAATTTATGAACTAAGGATGAACCGAGCTGAAAACTGTGATTTCATGTCCCTTCCAGTTCCCCCAAGATGGCAGCTCTGCAGAATCTGAGACTAGACAGCTGGATTTCAATGTGTTTTGCTGCATTTAAGTATGTTCTGCTGAACATACCTGCAATTTTCAGCAGTAACCCATGTTTTTGTGCCCTTAACAAGCCATTAAATAATGTTCAGGTTTTAAATGGATACAGTGAGGAATTTAGGCATAGTTCAGTGATTCAAAAGCATACCACAGGCATCAAGAATTCATGACCTTGAACTTGGCTTTGATACTGATACAAATCAAACAGACTGTCTTTTCTCTTCTGTCTAGATTAGGGAACAAAGAAATCTTCAGTTATCAAACCTTTGACTGTGTCTACAAAGCAAGTCCTACTGTAAATTTCTCTAAAGCAACAGTATTATGCACATACTGTGACATTTTAAAAAATAGTTACAATTAGGACAAGAATGTCCTGTACCTTTGTGCAGCCTGGAAAAAGCCATCTTTAGAGTTTCTGTGATGGCATTTGTCACAAGGCAGATTTATAAACTTTATTATTAAATATTCAGGATTCTTATATTCTTGGCAACTGCATTCTTTCTTAAAAAATATCACTGCCAGTTATGTTCTAGAACACTGTGTCCAGCTTCAAGCTACAGAATACAAGAATTATATTAATAAATTGAAGCAAATTCAGGGGAGTATGACCAGGGTGCTCAGGACTGAAAGATTTTCCCTGTGAGGAAAGGCTGAGGCGTCAGGGCTTCACTCTGGAGATTAGATAGTCTTGACAACGAGCTGACAGCAGTCTCCTGAAGGCCATAGAGGAGACACAGTTTGCACCAAGGCAGAAGGAAAAGAAACAGGCAAAATTTGAATCTAGGTAAATTTAGGGTCAACATAAGAAAAAAATAATTCCATGTGAGGACAGTCAGACGTTTAAATAGTCCACCCACTGAGGCTGTGATGTCTCAGTCCTGGAAGTTTTTCATTATTTGACTGGACAAAGCTTTCAAGGACCTCAAAGACCAGGGAAACTGGTCTGATCTCACAAATGAGCCTTGTTTCAGCAGGAGGATGGACTAGAGATACTAGATTCTGTAATTCTATAATATTTTCAGATATGGAAAACTCATTTTGTAGAACTTGTAAGTATTTCAAGGTGCCACCAAAAAACAGGAAATAAACTCTCCAACCAATTCATAGGTTAGAAAGTCAACATTACTAGCACCACTGGCTGCATGGGGATTTCTCCTCAAAGCAGATACTCCCGGTAACCTAACAGACCGGGTTATATTCCTGAAACTAATACATACTCATCACATTTCCTGAATACATGCATATATGCTAATTATTTCTGCGGACTTATTTGGATATGGTTCCAGATTTTCTGATTAATCTTTTATCTTTGAGAGTATTTCAAACATGTTGTGATGTCATAATGTACTTCTCTTATCATGCTTTGTTTTGACAGATGATCCTTGTTCTCAAAACTAAGATCTCTACTAGTACATATTAATCACTAATGTAAGTAAATAAGGAAGCATTAGCTGGCACAAAACTTGTTAGTCACAGATGTAGAGAATTAACACAAGGTCACATTTATCTCTGGTATTTGTATTAAGCACTGTATGGTGCAAAACTAAGCATTAACCATTATATTTGGATCATATACTATTGTGCTAAAGTTAAAGAATTTTTCAATATCTTCCCAAACTGCTGCATAGACTTCTTCTTAAAAAAAATATTACTTGTTGAGTAACAAAATTGAGCTGCTCTTCCTAGACAGTTAATTCCCCAGACAGCAAATGAATACAAATATCTAATTACTTAGAACCTTACTTTTCAACAGCTTGAAGCCTACTAAAAAATTCACACCTCTCGTCATCTAAGGAAGGGAAACTTTAAAAAAATTTTGCTCCTTTTTTAGACATGTTAACTGGCCTGTCTTTAAAAAACTATTCAGAAACATTTAGAACAAGCCAGAAAAATTCATTTATAAAACTGGTTTTCTTTTATGGCTTTCAAACAGGCTAAGTGAGATTTCTGTGCTCACTTGGACAGAACCCAACTTGTTAGTGGCTATGGCCATAATTTTCTAGATTATCAAATTCATGTGGGGGAAAAAAAAAAAAAAAAAGAGGAAAACATGCAATTCACAGGACAGCAAGGACACCGAATGGGAATATGTATGAGACAGAGAGTTAAAGAGTATTTGATTTTCAATCAGTCTTAGGCAGAATCCATACGTTTTGAGACCACATAAAACGATTAAGAACCCATTCATTAACAGAATTAATCTGCAATAATCTGCATAATCTTAAATTCTTACTGCAAGTAAGAATTATCACATAATCTTAAACATATTAAAACAGCATTTTGAAGGCATGAAGAATATTCGACAAGCCAACTTCAAAGCAGAAGCATTTCCAAGATAACTACAGCTGTATCTCTTTATGATAAACTGAAGACAGTCCAAACTTCAATACTGCAAACATGATCTATTATGACACCATCCAGAAAAGGTTATGGGATAGGCAACTTCTGTCACTTATGCCGAGCCAAACCACTACTATCTATGTTCTACAAAGATACACAAATGTTTTCTACTAGTTGTAGCAAGTGTTCTGGTATAGTTTTAAAACAAAATCTGTTGAGTTCTATGATGATATAAATGCAGAGTCTTTATTAACTTTTCCAAATTTAAACCAGTAACTAAAATATTTTAATGAAAAAGTAAAATTTCATATTTTTTACAAGAGAAGTGGAAGAAAAGAGGGGAAAGGATTTTTTTTTTTTAATGTGTATTTCAATATAATTTATTTTCAAATTAAGCATATTTTTGGTTCTCTATGCTCACCTTGAATTTTCTCTGGAGTTCCTGAAAACACTAATTCCACCTTACTGTAGTCAGGAAAACGGTCATCTGAGAACAAAGGACAGGAATTCAGCAAGATGTTTCCCAGGAGAGCAGTTTCAGAGCACTCAGAAATCAGGATTCTCTATGGCAATCTATGCATGTACCCTCATCACTCTTCCCTTCCCACTTACAGCTTACTGATCTGCTTTTAAAAGCCACATTCTTTGTGCCATACATTCTCCAGAAGAGTCCACATAAATGCCAGATGGAGTTTTGCTGGCTTTCTAGAACAGTCATAAGCAGAACAGATGTACAGTTCCTAACCCTCTCTCTAGACAGTAGACAGATGTGACTTATAAAGAAAACACACCCAGAAAAATTAAAATTCTTCTCCATGTTGCCTAAAGCACAATACTTGACCACAAAACTTTTGGTATCCTTATGTTGCATGCTGCAGAAAAATACGCTTGATTTTAGTTTGCTAGTAACATAGGCTGGGAAAGTTCCAGTCCTGCATATAAGCACAATAAAACTGACAATATTATTTGGAAAATATGAGGATTAGTGTGACACATTTTCAGGTGTGTCTGAAAACTTTGTGTCCATTCTTTGATATTCTAAAGCATATTAAAAGACTCAGACTATGTCACAAACACACTATCAGACTTTATGACTGTTTTCACTAGCCAGAAAAGGGAATTGTTTAGCTCATCTTATTTCCTTCGATGATGACAAAGAGAGCCAGCATTTAAATGAGGGAAATGGTGATAAGGACTGTGTAGGAGTATCTGAATTATTCTGACAAGTTAACTCGCTTGAAGAGCTTTTTCTGTCATTAGGGTTTTACTAATATTATACACTACAATTTAACTAACTCAAAGCAGTCTCCTTTTCCCCAAAAAGAAGTAAGGAAAAAAAAAAAAAAAAGAATTCCTTTGAAAACGGGTGCTGAATAAGATCATCACATGCATATGCTTGCATGCCTGCACATATACACGTCCAACCAACCACAGAAGACAAGTACCTTTGTTGGCATTATCCAAATCTTCTTTGCCAAACACCAAGCCATGTCCTTGAATAGCTCCAGTGTGAAACTGAAGGCGAAAAATCACATCACAAGTAGCTGACCTGTATTTTTTGTAATAACACTTCATCTAGAAAGAGAGAGCAATGTTTTATGTCAGATAGTGTGAAACTGAAGGCGAAAAATCACATCACAAGTAGCTGACCTGTATTTTTTGTAATAACACTTCATCTAGAAAGACAGAGCAATGTTTTATGTCAGATAGTATTTTCTTACAGTTCTGAACAAATGTGTATATATTAGTTGCTATTTAAAGAAGCCACAACACAATTTATTGTAGACACCTCTGATGCTGGAACAAGAAGGGTATGTGTTATTCAATTCTTTAAGATTACACAGGCCCAAGGCAGGATACTTCTAGATATGTAAAAAATAATAATCACTATTTTCACCATTATCAGTCATAACAGTAGGTTATGAGCCAGAATCATAATATCTGGCAGTACAATATTGAAATGCTGACCTGTATACAGACTTCTTCCCTACCAAATTAATGAATTTCAGCACACCCTTTTCCAAATAACTGAAGAATATGAGGACTTTTTCTAAGCAAGCCCACAAGATGATTATATCTATTTTAGGACTTGTAAAAATCCTGCTCTAATGACAGGATCTTATTTTAAGTTGATAAGGAAGTTGACAGTAGTTTTCACACCTTGGCTAGAACACAGAACTCTACAAAAACATCTAGAATGAATTTCAGTAGCTACAAGTGAATACTATACCCATGCTTTAACATCAGCTTCCCTTAGACAAAATCTATTGATATTTCACCTACTAATTCTCTAAATCTACTGTCATACAAAGGCACTAAGCATTCTTACAGGTATTTGTAAAAATTTTGGCAGCCTTAAGTAACAGGACTGAAAATTTTGCCATACTATCCTGATTATATCAGGATTTTATGATAAAGCAGATATTACTCAAATGCATTAAAAAGAAAACAAATATCACTTTTATTAAAATCAGAATAAGAAAAGCATCAGATAGAAAATGCCAAACAATTTAATAGTTATTTAAATGAAATAATGCAAGAAAGATGTAAGCGCTTACGAAGGATGCTTCTGAAAGTAGGGGTTAAAACACAGTTATGAAATTCTTCTCACTACAAAATTTGAAAAATTATATTTAGCCTTCATTATACCCTACATTCCAGAAGTCAATCAGCACTCACTATATCCCTGGCTCACAGGACAACTTCTGAAATATTTCAGCCCATATACCAGAAATGGTTTTTTTGTCAAATTTTCTGTATGCAAATCACATATTCCTAAGCTATTATAAGGGCTGGGAGATTCTCTATGCATGTAATCTCTGTTTCATCTGAAAGCAAGAAGGTTGTTTCTTTCTTTCTTCATTTGTGTTAAGAGAATTCCCTACAGTATATTGGCAATACCAGGTAAAATAGTATTTGCTTCTTTTTTTGGACAGTGCTTTACATGCACTAATTGTGTACAGACCCCTGTTAAAGGGATCTACTTTCTTTTAGTCCAACACAACTACCAGCATGACTTCACTACTTTAATTACCAAAAGGTAAGGTACGAGTAACAGTTTGACTGCTTGAGTCAATAAACAAATGCTCAATCTCCAGCATGCCAAGCAATTCTGTAAAGACAAAACACAATCATAAAGGATGAAAAAGGCAAGTTTGCCCAGAAGTGAAAAATGGACAGAAAGAGAATTAAGAGAGTCTTGATGAGAGATTTTAGAGCTAACCTCTTGGACTGGACAGTATTTTTTTTTTTATCTAGAGAGGAGGCAACTGAGAGGTGTTTTAAAAACTTTTGTTTTATTTTCAGTCTCCTGAGAAGGTTGAGACACTACAGATGTTATAATTCACACCATCACAATCAGAAGCCTACTATTTCTTAATTACAATACACTGAAAGTGTTTCACGGCCTATCAGCTTTTTGCCACACTGATGTAGATGTTTTAAAGCTAATAATCTAAAACTACCCCTCATGGGTCTCTACAAATCTATTTCCCACATTAACCTGCTCCAAAATGTAGCATTGGTATGAAAGTAACTGTGATAATTCCATGTAATTGTATTATGTGAGCAAAAATACCTGAAAAGAGCATCTTTAGGTTTATATACATTCATCCATTTTGGCTTTGCAAAGTGGTTGGATTTACTCAAAATGTACTATCTTTTACATAATCTCATTTATAAAAATGCTGAAGGAGAGCTCCTCCTTCTTTCTACTTTCCAATTCAAAGTACCAGCCTTGGATTTAACATAGATTAGCTTAAAATTAAATAATTTAAAGTTTCAATTCACTTAAGTTAAAAATAACTTAATTTTTGCTCTAAAAAACTTACCTACAGAGAATTGTAATTTTTAATGAATATCAGTTCTCTTACAATCAGTAATATTTTACTTCTATATCCACAGACTAAAAATATCTTTTAGTGCTCAGTATGCATAATAAACTTTCAATGAAGTCTAAGCGCAACTTTGAATTCTGACTTCACTACCTTTTGATGCCATAATCAAGAATTAATGCAAGCCACTGTAATGTGCTGTAAAATTCTTATATGCATTTACAGATGTCAGTGCAGCTTTTTAACAGCTGCATCTGTTCTGTACCACCACATGCTACTCACATGATATTAACAAATTCCCTAAATCTAAGGCAAGAGAGGATATTTACCTTTAAAAAAAAACAAACATGCATTTCAAGTAGTTAAACCTTTTGGAATTGGAGGTGGAACATTGTACAGATCACCACTTTTGTCTGATACCAGTGAAAATTTTGTTTAGACATAATAAAAAAAATCAAAACTGAAGTCTTTGTTTAGGAAATACTGAAGTGCTGAAAAATACACTGGTTTGCACAGAATTATCTCAAATAACAGCATGAGATTAAGAAAGATTATCTCTTTTAAAGTTATCCATTACTGAAAAGCTACATGCTCTTTTTTCATTCTAAAATCTCATTTGAGAGATACTGAGTTTATCTCAGACTGATTTCTGTTGTGATCTATTCCATTTCCTTAGGCACCAACAGTCCTTCAAAAAGTAGCAGAATGTCCTTAATTAATTTGAAACTGTCTCAAACTTTCAGAGTATGCCAATTTATAAGAGTATATTTTAAAATTGTTTCTCCCTTTTTCAGTGAAAGAACAAAAAAACATATACAGAACTGAAGAGGGTGGGAAAATAATAAAAATAATTCAATACCAAGATCACTGCTGTGGTTTAGGAATGCTATTCCCCAAGTCAATGTTCCCACCGAAACACTTCAAACCACACACCACTCAACCACACCCTCTCTCTTTCTCCCCAGCAGCATGCTGAAGAGAATTGGAGTCACAAAACGTAATTATGACAGACTGAGATAAAATCAATTTACAGTGAAATAAGACAATGAACAGTAACAGCAACAATACAGAGTGTACAGGATAATAACAGAGTGTACAAGAAAAAACAACAACAAATGAACAAGGCATATACAATTGCTCAAATCTCCCACCCACAGAATCCCCAGCAGTGCCCAACTGCTTCTTCCACCATGCAATACGAACCAGAAGGAAGCCGCCCTTCCCCATCCCCAAAAAATGAAACTAGGTGGTATAAAATAACCTCTGTGTCCTAGCCATGTCCCTTCTGGCTACTGCAAAAATTAAACCTGTCCTGACCAGGACCAGGATATTATCCACCCCTTATTCTATACCATCTACATCATGCCCAAAACCCACACCTTCCATTTATACACACACACACACATACATACATATACACGCACACACACACACACATATATATGTATGTATGTATATATATATATATATATACACACATGTGTGTACATACACACACACAGAAGAACAGGTATCATTTCCATAGCCACTGGCCTAATCCCTCCAAGTTGTCTGCTGAGTTAGTTCAGTTTATAACTGTCACTTCCATCTATCCTAGGTGTCTTCTAAGGCAGAAGGGCTGTTGGGCTGTTGGGTGGTTGCAAGCTGCATCAGGAGCTCATGACTGGTGTATCTGGAGCAGTCCATTCTCACTGTTCATGGCAGTTACAACATACACTGGCAGTGTCATTCAGCAACCAACATTATTCAATTCAGTATTATTGTTCTCACCCAAAAATCAAGTCCCTTTGAAGTATACACCACATTTCCCCTGTACCTCTGCATTACACACCAAGTGCACCTAGGTCCCTGAGTAAAAACAATCCCATGGATGGGTTTGCCTTTGCTTGAAGCAGAACTAATTCAAACTGTCTTGCCTAACATACTCCTCATGCACTACAAGGTCTTTATTCCATTCGGCAGTACATGGAGGTTTTGATTGGGCAGGGCCAGCTCAGCTGGTAGAGTTGTAGTGTAAACTAACCAGGTGGCCTCCTCTATATCCCAATGCTTGATGGTCCCACCATCCATTGTTTTCAATATGGCTTTAACAGTCTATTGTAATGTTCAGTTTTCCCAGAGGCTGGTGCATGATAAAGAGTATGATACACCCACTCCATACCATGCTGTCTGGTCCAGGTACCTATGAGGCAATTTTTGCAATCAGTCCCCTTGTCCAACTCACTTCTTTCTGGGGTGGCATGTCTCCACAGGACTTGCTTTTCAAAGCTCAAGATGGTGCTCCTGGCAGTGGCGTGAGGCACAGATCACATCTCCAGTGGTTGCTTCCACCATTTTAAGGTAATGCTTCCCTCAATGGGTTTACCTGAATGTGATGCAATCAATCTCCCACACCTCCTCATATTTGACCATTGTCCCCTGTGGGAATCCAGGGCTTCCCTCTGGCTGCCCTGGCAGGTCTGGGACCCTGGCAGGGGGTCAGGAACCCCCCTGTACAGAGCCCCAAGAGACACTGTCTCTGATCTCTGTCCATGGAGAGGAGTTTTCAATCTTACAGAATGAATTACAAGCTCTGAGTGTTTGATATGAGTAATAATTAAGTGTGGCACGGGTGCAAAAGTAAAATTTTAGGATTCTAGATTAGGGGTCCAAAGGGGACAAGATGGAGGAAATTGGGTGTGTCTTGTCCTTTTCCTCCTTCTTCATGCCCTCCATGTTTCACTGTAGTGTTGGCATTTTTCT